GAGGCACATAATGCTTTATGGGTTCAAGAAAGGAAACTCAGCAGCCGAAGCGGCTAGAAACATTCACTCAGTTTATGGAGAGAAATGTGTGAATGAAAGAACTTACAGATGTTTTGCAAAGTTCCGAGGTGGATTTTTCACCCTTGAAGATGAAGATCGAACCGGACGTCCAACTGAGTTTGATGAAAAGCTTCTTGAAGCAGCCCTTGAAGAAAATCCTGCTTTATTAGTTGAGGAATTGGCAGTGGTTCTTAGTTCAAACCATACAACTGTTCATCGTCATCTTCAACAACTTGGAAAAGTTCCTAAACTTGGAAAATGGGTGCCTCATGATTTGTCTGAAAACAACCTCAAATCCCGAGTTGACATCTGCTCTTCTCTCCATTCTCGCCAACTTTATTCACCTTTTTTGGATAGACTTGTGACTGGCGACGAAAAATGGATCTTTTATCGAAATGTTAAGCGTCGTAGATAGTGGCTTGGTAAAGGGGAAGGACACCAGCCACAGCCGGGAAGGGAACTTCATGGGCAAAAGGTTCTTCTTTCAAACTGGTGGGATCGCCAAGTAATAATCCACTTTGAATTCTTACCAATTAATGCTCAAATATACTGTCAGCAATTAGAGCGTTTGAACCAAGCTTTGAGGAAAAAAGACCTGCTCTAGTGAATCGAAAAGAGGTGATGTTTCATCAGGACAATGCGCGACCCCACACAGCAAGAATTACGTCACAAAAGATCGAAGAACTTGGATGGGAGAAAATTGCACATCCACCTTATTCTCTCGATCTTGCTCCTTCAGACTACCATTTGTTTCGTAGCTTACAGAATCATTTGGAAGAAACAGCTTTTGTAACACAGGAAGAGGTTAAAACTGACATTTGTGAGTTCTTCGAATCAAAGCCAAAAGAATTTTACAGTAATGGAATTAGTAAGCTTGTTAATAGATGGAAGGAAGTCATAGATAATCAGGGAAAATACATTGTTGATTGAATCTGTAATTAAATGTAACATCTGGTCACTTGTTTTCTTTATTAAAAATTCGGACAGAACTTATGGGATGACCTGATAGTAGTAAGTTAATTGAGAAGTGTCCCGTTCAACAATGCCAGCATATTCATATCGTGAGCTAGCAGATATGATTTTAATATACGATTGCATGAATGCTATTGGACGCGAGACTCCACGGCTGTTTCAGATTGCGTTTCCAGCCCAAAGGCTGCCGAGTTAACACATATATATATATATATATATATATATATATATATATATATATATATATCAGAGGGTTCTGTCTAGGTCCTTAACCCGAATAAATAAATCAACATCTCCATTTCCCTTCTGTGGCGCAACATGCATCTAATCCTATATATATATATATATATATATATATATATATATATAGTCATCGTTTCGTTGTATCACAGCTCATCAGTGTGACTAGACATCCAAATGCTTCAAGCCGGGTTCAATCGACCGATCTGACATCAGTCAGAGACTCTTACTCCTAGGCTATCGACGTACGGCAGAGAAAATGAATTTATAACGCATTATATACGTGCTATATAAAATATGCGTGCTCCGACAGGAATCGAACCTGTATCTATACGGTATCGTCATATAGCCTGACATGCTTTACCGATTGAGCTACAGAGGAACGTTTCTGTTAGCAAGGTCGATTTTACTATTTTTAAACTACAATTCTCCATGATTTTCTCTCGTACATTCATATCTGCTCAATGCGTATCCAAATGTAAACAAATGACGTGACACATTATTTGTCCATTTCATAATGTGTGACGTCATATATATATATATATATATATATATATATATATATATATATATATATATATATAGTAAGATACACCCTATGCCCGGGGTGGGGGCATTTGAAGTAGGGAAGTTACGTTAAGGGGTAATTTATATGGGTAGGAGGAGAAGATAACTGGTAACTCTAGAACAGGTTAAGATTGAAGTGATCGGGGAAGCATCCTCCTGGGAGTCTGTTCCACAAAGAAGTGGTTCGCACGAAGAAGCTGTTTGAGTGGAACTTATTTCTTGGCGTTGGAATACGGAGGGAATGTGGCTGGCTGGTTTGCTACTATGTAAGTGGCATGGCAGGTCCTAGCCGTGAAGGTTGCACCTGACGGAACCAAAGAGTTTAGCCCTCATCTTTCATGGAGTAGAGATAGTGCATATATATATATATATATATATATATATATATATATATATATATATATATATATATAAAAAGTGTGTGTGTGTCTTTCGTGTGTTTCTTTGAAACTGTACATAATAATTACTGTCCTATGCACTTTCGACCAATTCATTAGACATTTTCAAGTAGTTCGTTGCTAGTAAATTGTTCTGGGCTATCTTTTTATGAGACACCGCATAAAAATGGCGCTCATTAAAACGTTTATTAGTTTCTAAAAAAAAAAACAGGTTCAAAGCTTTTGATAAACTTCTTACATTTATTTTGAAAACAAAGCTTTAC